AAGAGTTAGGCAGAAAATTAAAACTGGTAAGGATGAAGATAATAACAGTGTAATCTATCATAATAAAACTCAGTTCACAGAAGGCCTTACTAGTGAAGAGGTATTTGAATAGCCTTAATAGTAGTGGATGTAGGCAGTCAGGGCAACAAGTGCTTGGCATGTAAGAATATATGAACATGTAAGATCTAATACATATATCCAATAGTTTTTTTTTAATCTTTGGCATGGTGAAAAAAGCATTCTGATTGAGGCAATTTAAAAGTGAAAATTCTCCTTAACCCTGTAATGGCTCCCTCCATCAAGATATCTCTTTCATTGCTCTCCCTCTTCCTCCCTTCCCCAACTCGGCCATCCCGTTCCCTCATGTTCTCATTCCCCATTGGCTCCCCTTCATCACCACCCTGCCCCCAGTTTACCCAGGAGATCTCATCTATTTCCGTTTCCTAGGTTGATCCATGCATCTCTCTTAGGGTTCTCCTTGTTACCTAGCTTCTCTGGGGCCGTGGATTGTAGTCTGGTTATTCTTTGCTTTTCATCTAATATCCGCTTATGAGTGAGTACATACCATGTTTGTCTTTCTGGGTTTAGGTTACCTTACTCGGGATGATTATTTTTCTAGCTCCATCCACTTGCCTGCAAATTTCATGATGTCATTTTTTTTATATACTTGAGTAATACTCCATTATATAAATGTACCACATTTTCTTTATCCATTCTTTGGTTGAGGGGCATCTAGGTTGTTCCCAGGTTCTGGCTATTATGAATAATGCTGTTATGAATATAGTTGAGCAAGAGTCTTTGTGGTATGATTCAGCATCCTTTGGGTATATGCCTAAGAATGGTATCACCAGTTCTTGAGGTAGATTGCTTCTCAATTTTCTGGGAAACCACCATACTGATTTCTAAAGTGGCTGTACAAGTTTGCACTCCCACCCTTGCTCCACATCCTCTCCAGCATAAGCTGTCCTTGGTGTTTTTGATCTTAGTCATTCTGACAGTTGTAAGACAGTATCTCAGAGTTATTTTGATTTGCATTTCCCTGGTGACTAAGGATGTTAAGCAATTACTTAAATGTCTTTTGGCCATTTGAGATTCTTCTTTTGCAAATTCTCTGTTTAGAAATGTATCCCATTTTTTAATTGGATTATTTGGTATTATGTTGTCTAGTTTCTTGAGTTCTTTATATATTTTGGAGATAAGCCCTCCGTCAGATATGGGGTTGGTTTTCCTATTTTGTAGGCTATTGTTTTGTCTTATTTACTGTGTCCTTTGCTTTACAGCAGCTTTTCAATTTCAGGAGGTCATTTTTTTTAATTGTTGCTCTCAGTGTCTGTGTTACTGGTGTCGTATTTAGAAAGCCTGGTGCTAGTGAAATTCTCAGAAATCCACAAGGATAAACCCAGCTAAGACTCTTAGCAATAGTGGAGAGGGTGCCAAACTGCCCTTCTCCTATAATCAGATTGGTGACTACCCTAATTGTCATCTTAGAACCTCCATTCAGTAACTGTTGGAAGCAGATGCAGAGATCCACAGCCAAGCACTGGGCCAACCTCTGCAAGTCCAGTTGAAGAGAGGGAGGAGGGATTACATGAGCAAGGTGAGTCAAGATCATGATGGGGAAACCCACAGAGACATCTGGCCTGATTTAGTGGGACCTCAAGGACTCTGGACTGACAGCTGGGAATCTGCATGGGACCAAACTAGACCCTCTGCATGTGGGTGACAGTTGTGTGACTTGGTCTGTTTGTAGGGCCCTTGGTAGTGGGACCAGGATCTATATCTGGTGGATGAGCTGGTCTTTTGGAGCCCATTCCCTATGGTGGGATGCCTTGTTTGGCCTTGATACGGGGGGAGGGGCTTGATCCTACCTCAACCTTGATGTTCTAGGTTTCACTGACTCCCCATGGGAGGCCTTACCCTTTCTGAGGAGTGGATAGGGGATGTGGGGGGAGGAGGTGGGAGGAGAAGGTGAAGAGGAAGGAAGGGGAACTGTGGTTGGTATGCAAAATGAATAAAAATTTTAAAATAAAACAAAACCAAAAACAAACATACTACATAAAAAAAAGAAAAATTGAATCTAACCCTGTTGATGAAAATAAAGTTTAATGAAGATGTATTGATGATTTAAAAAAAAAAAAGCAAAGAATTCTTAGCATTGAACCTGGAGTTGGGGTCATGTTTTTTTGACTCTGATTCATTGAACATCCTTGGACATGTCCTTTTACCTCTCTATGACTTCGTCTCTAACTCTTTAAATTATCTGCATTCAGGTGAAACAGAAGGACTGGGGTTCCATCCTCATTCTTTGGATAAAGACTGGTTGAAAGTATGCCTTTTATAGTTAACTAAACTATGTCTACACAGTTGTTTTACCCAACTTTGGTAGGTGCTGTTTTATCTTTATTGTTTGCTTGTATTGACATGTCCTGACATAGTTATTATAGCTGCTTTTTACAGAATTCCACTGAAACACTCTCTTCTGGGTTTATAAGTTCTCTCTTTTCCTTTCATCAGAAATGTTTTGTGAGTACGATGTGTGTGTATGTCAGTGTGTGTGCACAGTACACTTGTGGAGGAAGGAGACAATAGCCCATGTTTATTCTGCCCTCCTTGAGACAGTTTTCTTGTTCTTTTTGTTGTTGTTGTCTGAACAATGAACTCCAGCATAGCTAGCCCAGGAGTCTCTGGGAATTCTAGTTTTCACCTCCCAATTCACTATTGGAGAGTTCAGATTATAGGCACATGCTACTGTCCCTGGCTCTGTGTGAGTTCTGGGGATTCAAACTCAGTTCCTCATACACGTATTCAGAGGATCTAACACTGCATTTTCTGTTGTGGATATCGCTCGATATAAATAAAGCACTGATTGGCCAGTGATCAGGCAGGAAGTATAGGCAGGACAAGGAGAGAGGAGAATTGAGGAAGGAGGAAGGAAAGGGAGACCGGCTGGAGCCACCGCCAAGACAAGGGAGATGTAAAGTACCGGTAAGCCATGAGCCACGTGGCAAAGTAAAGATTAATAGAAATGGGCTGAATATAAGAGTGAGAGCTAGACAGTGATAGGCCTGAGCTAATGGCCAAGCAGTTTAAATAATGTAAGAGTCTGTGTGTGTGTTTTATAAATGGGTTCTGGGACTGGCGGGACTTGGCGGTGGGAGCTGGAGAAAAATTCTCCAGCTACAATTACCTCTCTAACCATAACTTTTCTTTTAATTTTACTATTAATAATAATAGAAACACAAGCATTTCTGAAACCCATTTTCCTGGCTGGATAAATTTGGACTTATCATGACATCTTATTTCAATTAGGTCCTCGCTTTACCATTCTTCCTGCCTTTTGGGCTGCCGTTAGCTCAGATGACTGACAACACCAGGGAGCGGAGTTACCTTGTGCCAGCCTGAATCTGTGAAAACTTCCCACTTCTACCTTCCTTGTTCCATGGTTTACAACTTGGTCAACATCTACAAATTATTCTGCTGGCTCCATATACTTGAGCAGACTGATGCTTTTGTGTTTGGTCTACTAAACCATTTTTGTGAAGGACATTCAGTGTTTGCCATGAAGCTATGACATGGCTGGTATGAAAATAGCTTCCAGCTCTCACTGTCTAGTGCTGCACACTGGGCACAGGAAGGACTTATGGGAGAAGTAGGTCATCCTGTGATAGAAATCTTGCTGGAACTAGGGAAAGGACAATCCCCTTCCTTTTCTGCAGTCTACTATTTCTCTGGGTAGTCTCTGCTTGTTTTCATTCAAAGCAATGTTTCAAATCACAGACGGCTCATTTGTATCCAAACACTTTCCATCATTATCTCCCAGATCATTGTGCGTTTTACGAGTTATTTCAGGCTTGCAAAACAGTCAGGGACTCTGAACATAGAACCATCCAGAACCACTTAATTCATTCATTTATTGCCTCCATTTTACTTGTTCCTCACAAGAAAATGAAAAAGGAAGTTCTAAGTTCATTTTTCAGTGAGATGATACCTTTCAGTTATCAGTAAATTGCATCTTAAAAGCAAGAATGCTTCTCTGGATGATGGGAACAGAGAGTGAAATATTACACCAATTTAAAATGCTATTACCTGCTCACATTCCCAATATCTTTCCCCTTAGTAGTACTGTTCTTACATAGGAAGCAAGTTTTTTTTTATTATTGTTACTTCCTTCTATTTTCTTCACCCAGGGAGCCTCATTAGAGAAATAAAGCAAGGGCAGATATATTTGACAGCATGAGACAAGTGATGCTTTCTTGAAGCCCTGTATGAGGCAGTTTGCACGTGTCTGCTCAGGCCACTACCTCTGACTCTTCTGGCCTCTGTGTCAGGAGTGACATATGGCTGGAGTTAAGCACGGTCAGCATTTGCAGAAGGGTGCCCATATGAAGTTGAGATGGTAAGGACATGACCCCACAGGCCATGTGAAGATCTGCTATTTGTCTATATCTGCTTCTACAGACTAGTTCTGTATAATGATTCTAAATAGGCCGTTTCTCACTCTTTTGCACTCCCCCCCAGAGACACACCCCTATGGGTAAACACTCTTTACTTACCCTTTCTTTTGTTCCTGCTCTCTCTTTATTTGCATAATGATGAGAGCAACTTAATTTTTTTTGACAAGTGCAATTGAAAATGAAAGCAGCTTTTGATAATGGACAGACACAAGCTTGCAGATATCTAAGGATCCTCTTTTGTTCTCATGTGACATTCTCTCTCAAGGTATGTGTTATAATAACACTTACCTACACTATTAAAGTCATAGAAGATGCTTCACTTCCCTTCTATACAGTTAAAACAGGATCATGAGATTTCATTAAAATTACGGGCTGTCTTTTACAATCTTTCTGCCCACATCTGCACCCTTCTCCATAGAGATCTGAAACTTTGGGATGAGGCAGAGGGAATCTGGACAAATTTGATCAAATACCTTCTATATCTATATGAAATTCTCAAACAATAAATAAAAACATTTTCTAAAAAAATGAAATAAAACTACTCACTGTCATCATGCCATCCAGAAGACCAGTCTCAGGTCTGGGTGGAGCCTGCAACCTTTCCATGGACCACTTCTCAATGATGGATGACACATGAGGGTTGTCAATATTCAGCAACCGAAAGCCAGTCATATTTACACCACTGTACCTGTAGAGTTCCAGATCTAAAGCAAACAAGTCCTGCATATGTTATAAAAACAAAAGTAGAAATTAATTAACTTCACTGATGTTCTTGACATAAAAGAAAATAAATGATTATAGAAGCAATAAAAAGATGAAAAAACAAATGGCAGTGTTATCACATCCTGTCTGTGAAAGAATGTTAGATTTGGATAAGTGAAGAAGAGGAGTTTAACTAATAATTTATCTAGTCTTGGACCTGAGATATGATATTTGAAAGTTAAGAATTCTCTTCTTAGGATACAGTCTTTGAAGAGTTAGACGAGATCTTTCAGTCTCCTTGCCTCTGTGCTTTTATTTTATAACTGAAGGAAAAAGTTCTCAGTGGTGACAGGTCCACAAAGGAAGCACTGGGCAATGGCAGCCTCAGCCATCCTTGGCACAGCTGCTGCTTCAGGCTGTTCTGGGTCATGCTGCTGAGGTGAAATGCGGAATCTGCATGTGCAGAAAGAAGACTTCTAGGAGGCAAAAGTGGCATCCTGTGGCTCCCCGATGACTACTCTTATTCCATTCAACAAGAGTATAAAGAACATTTGCTGGAAAAGGGCTCCGAATAAGGGCCTCCTCAGAGAATATATTGGACCCTGTGGTTGTGCGCATGTAAAAACTTCCAGGAGGCTCATTTTCTCTTCGACAATGTAACAGAAAATATGCCTAACCCACCTCAGTGTTTTCTAGAACCGATGAAGCTGGATGCAAACCAGAAATTTATCAGTAGGTACATATTGAAAACAGAATGATCATTTCTATTTTTATATAAAAGTTTTAGAGTAAAACCATGCCACTGAAAATATTCTACATTTGAGAAAAAAACAAAATAGCCCAAAGTAACAGTTTACAGAAAAAAGTCCATGCAGACATTGTCTAGCAATAAAAAGGCATTCTGAAATGGAGTCCACCATGGTTCAGCCATGGTGAGGATGGCAGTTATTCAAGGCAGTGGCACTAGATTCTGTCACGATGTGTGTTTGCAGAAGGTGTGACACGCTCTTCTGAAGATGTCTTCTAGTTGTTGTCCATTCCCAAGATAACTTTGGAGTGGACAGCAGAGTTGTAAGATCACAGCTCTGCACTGCTAACTCCCGACTGAGAAAGCTGTACTGCTTTTTTATATAGATTTGTTCTTTTATTATTTTTTTTTAATTCAGTTAAGTGTCTGTGTCTCTGTGTGGGTATATGCAACTGCATGAAGGTGCCTGTGGAATCTAGAAGAGGGCATCTGATCACTTGGCAATGGAGTTTCAGCCAGTTGTGAGTCTTCCACCTCCCAATGTGGGTGCCTGGAAACAAATACTCCAGTCTTCTGCAAAAGCAGTATGTGCTCTTAACTACTGAGCCATCTCTCCAGTCCTGTACTGTCTTTTTTTCAACCATATATATATATTTAGTGTGTGTGTGAGTGAGTGTGTAAAATTTGTATTTTCTTTGCACTAACTTAGTGTTCAGAAAATTTTCCTTAATGCTTATGGTCAAAGTTGGCTAGAATACGAAAGCAATAGGACAGAATGCAGATTAAATTGTAGGGAGGCACAGAGTAAATACAAAGAATGAGAGCTAGGAAAGTTACTTCTTCAGCACATTCAATGAGTCGAGGGAAAGTTATTTAGTCACAGAAAATTCCAGCAGATGTGCTGAATCTCACATGATCAGTATTTTAAACATATGCAGAGTTTAGCTGTCCTACAACTTGACATTTCTTTGTAATACAGAATGTGGAAAGTTCACATCTGATTTGCTATATCCCCCATGAATGTGGAATGAGGAGGTCAGGAGAGTGAGGAGAGGACCAGAATGAAAACTGTTCAAGGTATTCTCCTTTGATCGCTTCTATCAAGGACCAGCCTTGCTAGGTTCAAGGAATGAGTTTCTGAAATGGCTCCCAAATCAGCTCTTCTGGGTGTGTGTCAATGAGGCTGAAAGAATGTTCTAAGGCCCAAGGCCACTGGGCCTTGCAGTACTCTGGTTTTCATGGTTATAGGGAAGGGGCATATCTGTGAGTAGAATAAAGCATTTAGCTGACACTGAGGTCACCTTCGACTATTTTGAAATAGGAATTAATGTGATTAGCAGCAACACAGAGGCACAAGATGGCACATGTGTGGGTGTAGGATCCTGCCCTCCACACTGCTCCCTTTCCCACCGCAATCTCATGCCATGATGCTCTCTGTACCCTTCATACCCACATGGATACTGCAAAGACATTTGCTGTGTTCGCTTTATGCTCCTTGTTCCAAATCCTTTGATTCCCATGCTTTTCAGGCATGGCTTGTCAATTTTATTTGTTAAAACAGTAACTCACTGACCACCCCACCCAGAATCTGGGCAGGTTATACTTTGATAAACCCTTAGAGACTACAAAGAAAATGGCTGATTACAAAGATGAAAAAGATTATAAAGAAAACGGCCACAAATTTTCTTCTCATGTAAGAAAGTGGAATACATCCTGCAGGTGTTGGGAAGACTGGTAGATATGCAGGGTCTATTGACTGACTTCTGAAGTCAACTGAGGGGGAGCTATAATTTTGGTATATTAAATGATGTTAGTAAATAGTCTTTAATTCAATATTCCACAAAAATTTTAACTATCAGTGATTCTTCTGTACTTCTTAAGCTGTGGGCCATTATTTTCCTTAATGATGTAGAATGTTCAATGTGTACGGTGCCTCCAAAACTTCACTGGTTGAAACTTTCCCAGGTACCCTCCAGGTGATTGACTGTCTTAACTCCATTGTCTCCTGGACACAGGCAGGAATGATACTTTATCACATCAAAGGATTCCAGGTCACACTTTAACACTCTTCGGGATGAATGTAGAAATTATAGATGGTGCTTCTTTATGAATAGCTCCTGTTTAATAGGATTTCATCGCCCTTCTGATGGACATGCATTGATGATCTTTTTGTAAAAAGAGACAAAGATACCCAATGCTCATCATCACTCAGTTTAGAGGAATCTTAGGAAAATAAAGAGAATCTCCATGACAATAGCTGCGTTTTGACCCTGGAGGGGCTGTTTGTGAAATAATGTGTGGAATACATTCTTACTGGAAGCACTCACCAGGGTTGTGAAGAAGTAGTGATAGTATTCAGTCATCATGCCCATGAACAAAATCTGCAACAGAGATACGAGGAGTAGATTCACAAGCAGAATTATAATAAGAAATAGAGCATTAGTAGCCTGTCTGCAAACACTTGGGTGCACAAAACTTAGAAATCTGCAGACCCAGTAGATTAGAATCCTGAGGCCAATTCGCAGCTGGTGAGGAGGCCACTGACCTCCAACTTATTTTATGTCATTATACTTACATCGAAATAATTGGTCTGCTGATCAAATTTAAAAGTAGTTTCTGGCCAACAAATTTTATATTTGGAGTTGTGCATGATGACACAGGGTTTTGTCTTTTCTGTTGCTTAAACTTCCAAAAGCAACCCCCTAGCCTAGAAATGTAATGTGATTGTGAAGTCTTCATCCTTACCGCAATGCTTTTCTCAGGTTAGAAGTCATTGTACGTTGACACGGCAGTGGTAGTACTCAGATGTTTTCAAATGAGGGTTGATAACTGAATGTGCCTCATAATTCTACCTACCACAAAGTTCTCATTTTACCCAACACACCTGAATTCACAGAGAGATGAGGATCAGACGTAGACCCAGTTCACATTATTTCTTTTTTCAACATTGTGTAGTATATTTTAGTAGAATTAGAAGGTATGTATTTTTCTAGCTATTTTTAATCAAATAGATTTTATTATATGTTTCTTTATTTTCCATTATTTTAGTGTACGAAATAGTGTAAATATGGCATTGTCATATATACATATAATTGAGCTTGCTGTTCTTTTTTATCTTTCCTTTCCATTCTTGCTTTGCCCAAATTGTCCCTCTTTTTACAACACACACACACACACACATACACACACACACACACACACACACACACACACACACATACACACACACACACACACACACACACACACACACACACACACACTCACACACACCAAGATTTCACAGATGGGAGAAAATATGTTTTTTAGAGCCGATTCTCAGTTACATCTTTAGGATCTTGATTTTTCCAGAAATGCTATGAGTTCATATACTGTTGTATTTGTTGAGAGAAGAGGAAGGTAGCTAAACAGTGGTAGTACGTAGGTAGTTTATTAAGTAGTGATTCCACTTTTGTGCTCAATGCAGCAGAAAATGTTTCAAATGGCTTTCTACATCTTCTAAGTCAGGATATTAGCTTCCTCATTGCAGGTTTAAAAAACACTACTTGAATACTACTTATTGTTCTTGGTTTGGAATGAATAAAAAAATTACCAAGTTACATTTCTGAAGCATTTTTCCTGACACCTCTTGCAAGTTCTGAATGCAAATCATAACCTCTCTGGAAGTTTTTAAGTCAGGGTTCCTTGAGCCCTCTCATCACGCCATTCTGGATAAGAGTATCTAAGGTGGGTGGAGCATCACTGATCCGTGGGAAACATGTATCTTGGCAGTGAAGAACAAGGACGTTCAGAACTTAGACTAAAGAGATGGATTTTAAAAGTATGGGTAAAGACGACATAAGTTGTCAGAGGTTCTGCTTAAATATTCGAGCTGGCATGACTTTACATGAAAAGGGATAAGGAAGGAAGAGCATTTAAAGACAGTAGTAACAAAGTGTGGACACTCAGGAGACACCTCTGCTAACATGAGAAGCAGAGGCTGTTTGGTGAAACTGGAATGTCTGAAAGTGAGATGAATGACGGGAAACTCTTGCTGTGATTCATGAGCTAATGGGATCTGAGTTGCTCCTCTGGTGCTAACAAGATCAGGTGCACAGCAGGGTTTTTTGAAGGTGGACTTGCTTTAGGGCCATCAATACCATTCAGAACCAGGCATGGTGAGGTCTTGTTAGCTGGTTTCTTCTATCATTCGAGCATAAAGAACTGGCCTGCCAGGGTCAGGCAGGAATCCAATTGTTCATTTTGGTTATTAGATTGTGTAAAGGGAACTGTGTAAAATTTATGTTAAGCTATGAATCTGGACACCAAGTTTAAAATACTGTTTCTGGAGTTGAAACAAATACAAATCCACCTGAGTTTACAGCTTTCATTTTGACAAAATTTTCCTTTTGAGCCTCTCAGAAGGTTTTGTTTTCTTGTTGTGAACATGAACACTTTTTAGAAAGAAAAACAATCATTTAAGCCATTATTTTATTATTGTTTTTTATAATTCCTGGAGGTAAATATTCATTTGTTATGTGTTATTCAGTATTAGAAATGGGATGTGGCAATTGAGTGGGTAGCAGCCGCTGGGCCTGCTTTTATTACAGAAGGAACCTTTGGATCTTCCAGGTGTCCTTTGCATTTGTTGTACCACAAACTTCTCTGTTCTCTTCTCTAGCTAGGTGTTTGGACCAGTATCTTTTTGACTTTGTCCTGATTTTCCTAGAAACTATTAAACAAATGCAGAGCTATTGATCATAACCCTATCAACTTTGTGGCCATTCGAGAACCAAAAGAAAGAAAACCTTTAAGATTAAAAAAAATGAGAAAGCTCCAAGAATGGTGTGTTTTAACAGCTGTCCTTTGTAGTGGCCTGTAGACTGATTGGGATGCAAAGGACTGTCTTCTGAAAGCATGCTTTATAAGCATCACTTTATGACTTTTTCTTTGGATGTTAGTATTTCGACTAAAGTCAGGAAGAGATTAAGAAAAATGTCACTTTAGGATAAATGTTGGTTTTAAAAACAAAAATGTAAAATCATGACATGGAGAGCTTTCTAATATTTTATCTTTTGGTTTTTCAAGATAGGGTTTCTCTGTGTAGTTTTGGTGCCTGTCCTAGATCTCGCTCTGTAGACCAGGTTGGCCTTGAACTCACAGAGATCTTCCTGGCTCTGCCTCCTGAGTGCTAGGATTAAAGGCATGCACCACTACTGCCCGGCTCTAATAATTTTTTGCAGAACTGACTTCTTCCTACAACTGTCTTCTCTGAATTTCTGTGCCATGTGTATCTGCTGAATTGATAAGTGGTGTTCAATTTTCTAAGTTAGCATTGCTAGGACATAGTCTTGTTTGAATTTAAACCAGTGTGCACACTTCACCAAGTTAACGTTGCTAAGTACAAGTTCTGCTTCTGTTTAAATCATTACATCTCAAACAATGCTATATAACAAATGTGGGATCAATTGTGTCATATTCAGTTATATTCTTTATTCTCCTTAATTGCTTATACTAATATGGTCTTCTAATAGTACTAGTTTCCAAATATAATTATTATCAAGTAAATTGTGATATCATATCATTAGCATAGAAAAAAATAGTTTTTAATCAGTGAGGTGAGGATGCACAAGGCTGAACTCTCAGCATTGAGGAGGCTCAGGCAATAGGTTTGCAACTTCAAATCCAGCCTGAGCTACACAGGGCAGAAGATGGAGTAGGGGGAGGATGAGATCCCTAGTTCGGAAGTCATTAATTCTGCTTGTTAAATTTCTGGCCCAATGGGCACACGACAGGATGGTAAGTCCTTGTGCTTACATGATGCCATGTGCTGGCTCTAGCCAACAAGATGGAAAAGGTAAGGACATTTGCCACCTTGCAGACTCTAGCATATTAGTTGCTTGGTTATCAGCACTTAGAGAAGGTATTCTTTTTCTGAATAAGCGCCTTTTTTCTCTTTTCATAAATACCAGGAGTCATGTAAGTGATCCTGTTAACAAGTTTGTTTTGATTTTCATAAAGGTTAAGGCCAAAATAATGAGCTCTCCAGTCAGAAACACAGGTATATATCCTAGTATGGACAAATATCATCCAGGTTTGTCTAGTTTGTTTTTTTTTTTAAACCAACTCACCCCTTCCAATTCCCCACTACTTTTAATAGACATTATCATTCTGTTTCAAATGTCTTTTTCTAGGCTGCTCTAATTCTTTATAGAATAATGATACTATAAATAAATAATCTTCATTGAGTATCCAGAAATAAGATGGATATCCTATTTTCCCCTAAGGAATGGTGGAATGTTCCAATCTAATGTAGCTGGGCTGGGTTAGTGTAACAGGAAGTCCTTTGACCAACTCCAGTCTCCAGCAATTCCATTAATGACTCTTGATAGTAAGTCATCCTCTATTACTTGAGGATAAATTTTAAGAACACAAAAGAGAGTAATAACAAAAGAGGCAAGATCTGCATCCTTAGGACGTACATTCTCCCTTCATAACATAACCCAAAAGGAGGAAGGATGGTGTGAGTCTCTTTAATGCTTTCTTTGCATTGTGGTATTGAGCTAGGAAAGGCTACATGGCTACTCCTTTGTTTCAATTTTTACCTTTTTTTATTTGTATCTAGAATTGATCTGCATGTAGCAGAACAAAAACTCAATGCCATTTGGCTCCTGAAAGAACATTTCTAATGGTTCCACTAATACCAATATTCTTTAGGACACAGCTACAACTCATTAACAATGGTGAAACCACACTGGTCCAACTGCCTTGTGAGGTTTTCACAACTATCAGGAACCTTGTACACAGTAGCATTGGCCTAGCTCTGTTGTCCATAGATGAGCTTTTAGATTTTGATGGATGGCTATCAAGTACACTGAGCAGCACAATGTTCATAAGATCATGTGTTTTCTAAGATGTAATTGACATTTAGATGACTAGGATCTAGTTTATAGGGATATAAGGTTTGTGGTGGCTACAGAGTCATCTTGTGAGATTGATGGAGCCAAGAATTCCAATAGCATCTCTTAGTTTCTGAAGAATCCTGGACTTTCACTCTGTTCTGTTCTCCCAAAGCAGTACCATGTTACAGAGACAGCAACAGCAAATATCCTCCATGAATTCCCAACATCCATCATTAAGGGAAAGCCATATATAAAAAATAATGGTCATTATGTAGTAGCTATAACAGCAAAACCTTAAAATAGAGGCTAGAGTTCTCCTGGGCTATTTTGAGGGGTTTTGTAATATTTATATGGCTTTTTATTACTGCTTCTTCCCTTGAAAATACATGTCCTGGAAGTTTATATTGACTAAACCAAAGTATATGGCTACGTTTATGGTTTTCTCAATAGAAGGATGAAGTCCCAGGCATCAGACATGGCTTCTAGTCAATAATTTCAAG